AAACGCCAGCCCGGCCGTATAAATACGCAGCCCAAACCTGCGGGGGCAGGAGGCAGCCGGGCAGTGGTGCTGAGGCAGTGCAACTGCGTTTTCTGTGAAAAAAACCTCTTCCTTATACTGAAAGCAGAAACATTTCAGCAAAAGTCCCCAGGGTTTTCCAGTTTTGACCAATTTCTTCTTTTATTTTTTTCATGGAGTTGGCTGCTTGCAGAAAAGAAATATTTCTACCTAAGCTTCACTTGGTTAAAAATCCCAGTTTTTAACCCAGTTACCAACTTCTCACATTTGGAGAGGGAAGGTCCCAACCAAGCCCCCACTTCTCCCTGCAAAGCCTAACAAAAAACTGAGCTGACCTGGCTGACCGAGCAGGGCCTTGGTACACTCTACTGCAAAATAAGCTTTTTTTACTTGATTTTAGTCCTCGTATGGGAAAGAAAACATGATCCGACAGGTTTTTTTCCCCAGCAAAGACAGGTAAGCTCTTCCCTGGGTCACACTTGTCTCCCTCCCCCTCCCTCAGCTGTCAGATGCACCAGGAACCTGGCGATGGGGACCGAAGATCCCATCACCTCCTCTCTAAAGCACAGCAGGCAGGCATCACCGGGGCCCTGGGAGGAGCACGAATGCCAGAAGAGCACCGAGAGCCCCCGGGCTGCCTTCCCCCTGCCCTGGGCGCAGCACCCTGCGCTCCTGCACGCCAGAGAGACCGGGGGCATCGCCCGCTCCCAGCGACTCGTGGTCCCCTGGGCTTGTGGCGGAGCTGCCCCCGACTCACCGGCTTCGCTCCCCTCCACCCGTACGTTACTGGCAACAGCTCAGCGCTTCTCCGCTCCCACAGGCTGGATTCAAAAGCCTTTTCAGGGAGATAGTGTTTAATCTGAGTTTTTCCAGCAGCACAGGGTGGCGCAGGGCGTTGGTGCCGGGATGCGGGATGCTCCAGACGGTGCCTGGGAGATGTAGAGGGCAGATGCTGAAAATCCCTGGTTTAGCTGGGGCTGTCACCCAGCAGCAGAGAAGCAGCAAATACCGCTTTCTAGTTCAGGTTGCAGAGCGGCTGGGGCAAACAGCGTAAGGAAATCCAGCTTTATCCTTTCAGTCTAGTGACAGAAATAACTGGCTGTAGGAGAGGGGAAAGCACAACTCGCAGCTGGCTCTGGGAGGGAAGGAAAGGGCTGGGAAAAGACACGGTTCTAGAAATATTCAAGGTGAGGGGAAAGGGTGCTGGGGGAGTCATGGGGGTAACCAGGCTTTTCAGGGAGGAGTTGGCAAACTCAGGCTGTGCAGAATTGCTCTTTTTCTGCGCTGGTTCTGCAGGGATCCTTTTCCTTTGCTATCCCTTTTATTTTATAAGTTTGTGCCACAAGGTTCCAGAGAGGTAAGCTGGGATCCCAAACTGTGCAAGCCTGAACTGCCTAAGGCTGCAACCCAAGCCTGCACTATTCTATTTCCCCAGGCATTAAAGGGCTTTCGGAGGATTAAGCCAGAGCTTTGTCCTCCCCACAGGATAGGGCATCAGGAGTAAAAAGATTTTCTTTTGCGTTCCTTCATCCTCCCCATTAAAGCCTGCCTAAGTCAGGCTTAACAAGCATATTAAAAAAGGCAAAATAAATTCGAGGTAGAGTCTTCAATCAGAACCAGGCACCAGCACCACCTCAGCTTCATCCTCAGCTCATCCTCAGCCAAGAAGAAAGGCAACGCTCGCCCCTCCAGCCCACTGCCCTGTGCCCAGCCATGCCTCGGGGTTGATCAGCTAGCGCGATCTGCTGATTTTCCAGCGATACTACAACATAAGCCACGTACACAAAGCTTAATTAATCATTGTGGCAAAATTCCTCTTCTCAGCCTCGTCAAGGGATCGGAAGCCCGAATAAATAGCGAGCCCAAGCTGGTTTACATTGCGCCAGCCTAATTTTCACCACCAAATTGTGCTGCTAATTGCACAAGTAAATTCTTCTGCAGTTAGTTTTTAAATCATAATTTGATTTTTAATGATTAGCACAAAGAATAGTATTTCTTTTACTTAGAAACACCTTTCAAGGTTCTTTAATAACATATTGTACGCAGACCAGCCAGGAGGCGAGTGCTCAGGGCTGACTTGCTCCCACACTGAACACACAGGGCTACCCAAGAAGGACCAAGCCCATCGTTCTCTAAAATACAGCTAGGAAGAGGATTTACCTTTTCGATTGCCTGCTGACAAGCCTGGCAACCCTACAGTTACGGTACTCTAACATCACCAAGAAATAAGATGTGCGGTTTGCATTTGTCCAGCTCGCTGGGGCTGCAGCTCCGCGGGGAGGTTGCAGAGAGGAAGGACTTCATGGACCCAATCATCACTTGTTGGACGTTGGTTGAATCCCTCCAAACTGAAACATGCATAAAGGAAACGATGGAGAAACCAGCCCGCACTTGTGGGCAACCAACGGCGGACGGCAGCACAGCGGGAAGGAAACCGCAGGCCCTGCTGGGGGCTGGATTGGTCCTGGCTCGGGGTTTGGCCATGGCTTTTGCTGATGTTTCTGCTCAAAGACTCCACTAGCATTGCCCAGGTGCGGGTCTCAGTTTTCTGGCTTTTTTCCTCCAAAAACCTTATTCCATCATTTTACCATTTTCTCATTAAGAGATAATATTAAGATAATTAATATCATAACAGGGCCTAGTCTAACGTTTGCAAGGTTTACAGACACACACATGGCAGGTACCATCTGTCCAGAAGCCCTGGAAACTGGCAATGGGCCCTCCCGAAACACCACGTGATTTAGAGAGCAGAGTCATGGTATCTTTGGAAAGGCTGAAGAGCAAAGCTGGGATCACTCCTGGACAGCAGCGGGCTCAACGCATCCACTGCCTGTTGGTATCAGCCCAAACACCGGCATTTGCCCCCTGCACTCTTGCTCAGTCCGTGAGCACCTCGAAGGGACTTACACAGCCGGGGAAGTCACTACTGACATAGAGGGGCAAAATGGGGAATCCGCACCATTCGTGCCTGAGAAGGAAACCAGCACTCCTCAAGCCAGCCCACCTCCTCCCAGCGTGCCACATGCCGGCTCCTCTCCATCTCCCTGCCCGCTCCCCGCCGCGGGGAAGGAAATGGTGCAACTGCAGCTCCCAGGGGCCATGCAACCCCGGCTGGTTGTCCCATATCCTTCTGTTAGTGTGTCCTAAGCGGCCAATTCATGTCTTTCACAACCGCACCTACCAACTGTTATATGAACGTCTCCGTTGCCCAACGCAGGAATCCCACCAGCTTGGGTTCAGAGCTGCCTCATGCCCAAGGCGAGAGGTCCGCACCTTCCAGCTGGCCCAGGAAAGGTGGGGAACACACCGAGAAATCTCAGCTGCAACATCATACACTTGAAAACTATCTCACTAAGAACACCTTAGCAGAAGCACATTAGATGTATTATGGTAGCAAGTGACATCCTGACGCGCTTTAGAAAGGAGAGCGCGAGGTGCAATGCTGTTAAGATCTCTTCTGGAGAAAACACAAAAGAATGTATACAGCTACGAGCCATTTGGGGTCTGCTCTGTAACACAAAAGAGCTGGAAAAAAATGACAAAGAATGGGTTGCTTAGAGCCGTTTTACAAAACACCAGACTGCAAAACAGGACCCTGAGAAAAGCCCCTTCAGTGTCGGGGCACCTACAGCACAGTTGTACTTCTCCCCTCGTGCCTCCCACCTGGGCTGGCTTTACACCAGCCCTTCCTTCGCAAGGTGGTGTGGAGCAGATGGAGGTGCTGCAGTCCCTTCCCTGGTAAAATTAGGAGCACGCGAGTTCACAAAAGTCTAGAAAAATCATTAGCTTTTCAAGGCAGGTCTGGCCCAAGTAAAGTTTATAGAATGAGATATTTAAAACTCTACTAGTGCAAACTGGTGGCAGTCAGGAGTAAATCGGGAATAAAAGCTGGCTGAGATCTTTGTACAGGAACTCCACTAGAGACCCCTTAACCGGGAACGGCGGGGCACCACCCCAATAAAGTCTTTATTTTTAAATGGTTTTGTTTCCAGTAGGGAAGAAATTTTACAGCAGCGAGTATCAAGCTAGCCACGCTCAGAAATACCGTACTGCCTCTATGCTATGAAATCCTCCTTGCAAGGTGCCACCCATGCCCCCTCCCATGCCGATGCTCTCTGCTAAGGGGAGCCGAGGGGCTCTGCGGCAAGCTGGTACCAAACAAAGGGGAATATGCCTGGAAAGCTGGGAAGAACACTGCCCAAGCTCTCCCAGCTTGTAGTGACAAAGGCTCTTTCTGGCAAGGGTCACACAAACCCACATACCCTGTCTGTCAGCTCAGGGGTGAGCAGCATCCCCAAATCCTGAACACCCACTGAGAGCTCTTACCAGCACCTCGTACCATTTGCTAGCCTAGATTCCACTGTATCGAGCAAATTACAACCAAAAGCCCCATCTAAACTAGACTGAGGGGACCTAACATTTATATAAATATTTATTTGGTGGCTACGAGCGTGAAAAAGAGCAGTTCCTTCTGGGAGGATGGAGGAGAAAGCAGCAGGGGTAAAATCAGCAAAGCCACTTATGATAACCCCAGGGAAGGCCAAGCGATGGCTTGGGGCTTGAATATTGGCTGTAAAAAAAAGCCTGGAACCACAAGCGAAAAAATTTGTCTCCAGCTGGTTGTTCCATGGAGATTTCAGGAAACACAAGGTACAGATGCTCTTTGCAAACTAGAAGTGGGACAGGGACATCTGTTTCTCCTTTGAAAAAAACCTGCGGGCCTTCCAGAGGTTTCTGTAACTGGGCATATCAGACAGGTTATGTGAAAGCACCGTGACTTATTTAAATTTTGTGTGAACTAAGACATGTCTGTAAAGAAAATCTAATGCTTTCCGGGAAGTAGTGCAGAAAAATCAAACTGAAGGATTAAAAGAGACACTGAGGAGCCTGCTTAACAGTACAAGAGCTGAAATCAAGCAGAAACATAACGAATTGTTTTAAAACCTTGAATTTTTTAACTCCATGGCAGTTATGCTGTACAACTTGGGTTTGCAACTGTTTGTTTCAGAACTTGAAGATGTTTTAATAAGAATTTAGTTGTCAAAAACTAGGGCTTCAGTGAAAAGACATCAGGGATTTAAGTCCAGGCTAGGTGATAATTTCAGCTGAACAGGAAAAAAGGTTCCCATGCAAAAGTGCACGTATTTCTTAGCCTGAGTGAATACCCATGCTACACCAAACATGAACACCTTCAGGTCTTCTCAGTCACTCTGTTGGAAAGCTCTAATGGGCACTGGACCCAGCAGCAAAGGACAAACCGGTTACATCCACCGTGGAGTTTTGCCCGTCTTTTCCCTCCAGCTCAGTCCTCTGGGCCATATTTTTGGTTCCGACCATTTTTGGCCTACACGTGCCTTCGCTTCAGGAGGGGGAAGACAAGGTATTAAGAAATGGTTCAGCCAGAGCTTCCTGAAATGTGGGATTGTTCATTTCCATCTGTTACTGTGTCCTAAGAGACCAACTATTTTCTCCGTCTTTCCCAACCAGCCCTAACAACTGTTAAAAGAGTTTGTAGACATCCTCAGTGCCTAATATGGCAACACCATTTGCCGGGAGCTGTAATACTTTGCTCAAGACTGATTGGCCAAGACACCAGCCTTGGGCTTTCAAAACCACATAAAATAGCCCAGGCAGCTGCTGCTCAATGTCTTTGGTTCGATCAAAGAACACCGGTGAAACAGCCGCAAAAATGACAGCTCTGAGCCTGGTCACTCTGGTCAGCGTGGTGTCCGCTGGTGAGTTGGGATTGCTATATTGCAGTTGGTCTTGACTGGTTTTGGGCAGACACTAACGAATTATTGAAATTTGTTCCAACATAAGTAATGCTAACTTTTTTCAATCTAGTTTTATGAAGAATTATGGCAATGTGCACAGTTACGACTATCATAAAATATGGAATTAGGTGTGCGGATAGAGTCAGATGTTAAAAGTGTTCAGAGGTTTCACGAAGAACGCAGTTTGACTTATGGCAATGTGCACAGTTACGACTATCATAAATATGGAATTAGGTGTGGGGATAGAGTCAGATGTTAAAGTGTTCAGAGGTTTCACGAAGAAAGCAGTTTGATTTCTTTCATGAACTAGTATTAAAAATGTTTACCTATAGCTTTGCTTTCATTTTAATGTACCTTAAAATAAGACCTCAAGACAAAGGGATCAATCTATATAGCAGGTTGCACCACGTTCTTTTACCTAGTTTCTGAAATTATAAACTCCCATGAGCTCATGTCTTCCGCTTTAAACACCCTATGTTGCATCTTCTCTGTTGTACTGCACCAAGCACATGGTTGAATTGTCCTCGTTTTCCTCTTTTGCACGCAAAGTTTTTGCCAAGCAGCTGGAGGCACACCCGCCCCAACAACAGCACAGGCACTGGGCACAGATCTGCAGCGGGAATCCCACCAACAAAATCCGGGGATGCGATAGATACGGCTGTGGCAGTTTCGGCGCCGACAGGTAACGCAGCGGGGCATCGGGAGTCCGGAGCTGTGGGGTTTGCTGTTGCTGTCCCAAATGAAATGGTCACACAGGAGAAAGAGCAGAATTTAACCAGAGCTGACACTTAGAATGAGGGAATACTGTTGCCTGCAGGACCTTGTACTCCTTTTTGGGACGTTACTTGGCAATCTCGCAGGAGTGCAGTAATACCACCGCTACAAACTGGTGCATGGGTGAAAAAGCGAGACCATGACACGAGTTAGCAGCCAAAGTAAAGGAAATGGAAAGTACTTCAAGGATTTGTCTCATATGTTCTTGTTGCTTACAGACCAGATGTGTAACTAACATTCAGCGACAGCTTGCAGGAAGCCAAGTAGATTAATTTACACAACCTAAAGGTCTGCCAGCATCGTTGTCTTTAAGTAGGCACCTCACAACAGAGCAGGTTGTATTTCCCTAAAAAGATGCTTTTATATGTAGAATGACTCCTGCCTTCCCTGCGTTTTCCTGTCATCTCCTCTCCTCAGGCACTGGAAGAAGTGTCCATCCTCATCATGCAGCTTCTGGATTTCTGAATGAGAAAACGCCAAACATAAGATTCCATTTTACACCGGCACAGATGTATTTTGGGGGTAGAACAGGGGTACTTTTCTGTCACAGCCTGAAACATCCCATGAGCTTGGGAAAATAAAAATGCGCTTACAGTTGGAAATCCCATCCCACTTTAAAGAAGGTCAGAGCAATACAGACATTTAGCCAGAATAAAAGATTTCTTTCCCATTTCATTGCAGATGCAAAAATCTTGTTAGATGAGCTTCAGATACCGCGCTGTGTTAACTGATCTATTTGTACACAACATTGAGCCTGACAGCCTTCTCTAACCGTGCCTTTACGCTTCCAGGCACGGCAGTAAGGGCAAGCACACGGGCGTGGATGTCATCTGCGCCGACGGAGCGACGGTGTATGCTCCCTTCAGCGGCCAGCTCTCCGGACCCATCCGATTCTTTCATAACGGAAACGCCATCGACGATGGAGTCCAAATCAGGGGATCAGGCAAGTAGTAACAGCAGATAGGTCGCGAGGCACGCACAAGTAATCATTTTGCTTACTTAAGGTTGCTGTGGCTCTTCAATTCAAGCAAAGCATTCATTCATCTTATGCCCTCTCTAGTTCCCACATGGAAGCACAACTAGACTGCTACTAAGAAGTATCAGAAATCAGCACCAGCAGGATGTAGTCCTTTTCCTATGCTTTTCTTGGAGAGCAGGGAAGAAGGGACTTGGAAAAACAACCACCCCACATCAAAAAAACTAGGAAACAGTAAACAAAGTATCAGAAACGTGCCCTCAATTTTGCTGAGAGGATGTTGTCCTGTTCCTGTTTTCCAACTCCCTCTTTTCCATAGCAATCCGAGTAATTTTATATTTCAGGATTGTTGGTACTTTGCCTACACTTCTGCTTCATCATTACAGTCTCCAGTAAGAAGCTGGCACAGACAGTTCCATGCTCACCCCAGCAACAGACGCAGTTGATGTTTCCTGACCCTGCTCCCTTCTCCCGTCTCTTCCAGGTTACTGTGTGAAGCTTGTCTGCATTCACCCCATCAGATACCAGGGCCAAATCCTCAGAGGGCAACAACTCGGGAGAATGCTGCCAATGCAAAGAGTATTTCCTGGCATTATCTCTCACATCCACGTTGAGAACTGCGACCACTCTGATCCTACTCAGCTACTTACGCCTGGTAAAAAACCAACCAAACAAAAACCTCCCCAACCCCCCCAGAATAATTAGTATAATGAGTAAAAATAATTAATTTATTTCAAATAAGGACAACAATATCAAATAGCAATAGTCCCCTCTTAGGTTCTCTCTGACAGCAACATCTGAAAGAAAATACGCATTATGAACAGGACTGAAGAATGTATTGGCTTATCAAGCTGCATCTCTTGCCCCCCATGACACAGCAGCATCAAGTCTCAGGAATAAACCGAGACATCTCTTCTGTTTGTCCCCTTTTAACTACTAGCAGTGATTTCCGTATTGCAGCTTAGCAGACTTTAGGATGACTCTTGGTAAATACAAATACTGCATTGGTAGTAACAGAGAATAGGACCCGAGGAGTCCAGTTCCATCATCTGGGCATAGAGTAAGAAACAAAACTGAGTCTTTTCCTGTCCCTCAGATTACACTCCAGGAACCGCGACACTTTCTGAATTTTTTGTCTTTAAAGCATGTTCCTCATTATGAGATAACCCTAATCTAGAAACACTACAATCCAGTCTTAGCTGTACATTCTATTTACATTTCCTAAAGGATGACAGACTTTGTGGAGGAAACATCCAACTACATGCGTAGGATGCAATTCCAGTATGTTCCTACCTACCTAAAATTAAAACATAGCAGTTACAAACATGCAACACTTAAAACAGAACCCCAAAGCTAACTTTGATGTGCTGTGTGTCTGTATTTCAAAGTTGTTCCACCATTCCCACAACAAGACAGCAGATGGGCAACAGTGTGCTCCGGGAATCCTACAAATGAGATAAGAGGCTGTGACAATTACGGCTGCGGATACTACGGAGCTCCAAGGTACTACAAGTGGAACACGTGGGGGGTTGTTGCTGCTCTGCTGAAATAGAATTGAACTCTGTTTAAGCCATTTAAGAATTACAGCTTTGGTTTAGGTTGGACAGGAACCAACGTTTTCGCTACAGGGGTAATGCAGCACCAGAACAGGTTGTCCACATGGTTCATAAAACCTCTGTGCTTGGAGATTTTTACGACTCAGACTAAGCCATGCTGGACCCGACCTGGTGTTGGGAACAGTCTTGACTCAAGCGGAAGGTTGGACGTGATGTCTTCCACAGGTACCTGCCAACCAACATTCCGGTGACTCTACAGTTCTATTTAAAGGCTTGGAAGAAAGGCTTTTTTTTTTCCCCCCCTCAAATTTGTGAAACTGCAACTCCAACAGGTCATCAACACCACATGGCATTACATCACCTACACCAAAAAACATTATTATAGATTCTTCAACCAGTCAGCTACGCCAACACCGTCTCAGTACAAACAACCCATTTCCAGATCTTGTAGCATGCTAACTGATCTCCCTCTGTATAACATCAGGCCTGACAAGAGACTTCTCTAATTCTGAATATTCTTTTCAGACGCAACGGTAAAGGAAAGCACACGGGCGTGGATGTCATCTGTGCTGATGGAGCAACGGTGTACGCTCCCTTTTCTGGCCAGCTCTCTGGACCCATTAAATTCTTCCACAATGGAAATGCCATTGATGATGGAGTCCAAATCAGGGGATCAGGTAAATAGCTGTATTTAATTTAATATTTCTTTGCCTTGAGGTCATATAGGTTGTATTACCTCGTAGCAAGCCAAGCAGTTAAACAAGGTGCATGTTTTGAAACATTGCACCTTCTATCTGTTTACATGCAGAACATTTTGCTCCTACGTTAGAACGCAAGTTAATTGAGTTCTGTAGAACGTCTTGGAGCTCCTCTCTTTACTAAAGCAGGAATTCCCATCTTCTCCCTGCTTCCCACCTTCCCCCTTCCACCAAGACAACTACTCCAACCACTATCTCTATTTTTTACGACCACAGTGTCTTTGCTACTTTGGTATTTCCAGTATTGCGCTCTCAGCAAAAAGGACAAGACAGAAAACGTTAGTATTTCTGAAACAGAGTTAGCACAGAAGAACAAGTGCTTCAGCAGTCATCTGATGGTTTCCCTCCTCTTATTTTCACCAGGTTTCTGTGTAAAACTAGTCTGCATCCATCCCATCAGATACAACGGTAGAATTTCTAAGGGACAAATCCTCGGGAAAATGTTGCCAATGCAAAGTGTATTTCCTGGGATCACCTCTCATATTCATGTTGAGAACTGCGATCATTCAGATCCTACTAGCAATCTCGAAAGGGGGAAAGGGCAAAGAGTGTGAAATGGAAATGTGGTAAATTCCAAATAAATTCATCTCAGCATCCAAAAGTTGTTCTTATCGTGTGGATGGCCTATCTCAGTGAGGGAAGGAAAAAAAATGTATTTTATGCAATTAAAAAAGGTAATACAATATGCACAACACAAGCTCATATTACTACTGATTCAATACTTTGGGCCTTACATAATATTGCGAGGTGCTAACAGTAATATACACTCCAGACACGGGTTAGGCACTGCTTTTTAAGCACCTGTAATTGTTGCGAACGTCGTGCCTTAGGCTAATTGATGGACTTTACTACACCTTGGCAAACAAGATTACTCTAGATTTTGAAGGCACCTGAACTGAGGAAAAGTAGAAGGAAATTTACAGAAACACTCCACAAGGCATAAGAGATGCTGGTTTGAGTTGTCATGCCAGAAAAAAAGAGGGTTTGCTGGAATTTACATTTACAAGAGAATCAGGAAATTAGAAATGACTAATTATAAGCAGACTCCTTGAGAAAGACAAGTTAGAGAGCATGAAAACTAGCTCACCCCCTCGCGTGGCAGAAAAGGTGCACTACTTTAGCTTCTCGCTGTAACCTGGACTTTTTAGCAACCCAGCAAATCTCCTTAGCATATCAGGTGCAAACTCTATACTTCATTTTGAGGGTTTTAGTTACTCTAACAAACTGTATCATCGCATTCTACACTACAGAGATGGGGTTTTAGAAAGCCTTTGCAGGGCAGCAGAACTAGGAAAAGCCAGTAAAACCGACACAACTTGCCTTAGCTAGGACGAGGTGGAGCTCTGACGTGCAGGCTACTCCAGGGGTAGCAGGGAGCGAAGGCAGAAGGCAGCTATCCCCAGGTTCTTGCCAAGAGCAAGACCTCTCCTGCAGTCGTTCAGGATGACCTGCTAACAGAGGAAAAGAAGAACTACTGCTGCTTTACAGAGGGCGGTGGTTTGATGCTCCTCCCCGCAGCGCAACGCACATACCTTAGCACCAACACGTGACGCTGAACGAATCCAACACCACAACTATAAAACTCAACATTAACAAGTCAGAAGTTACCCTTCAATTAGCTCCCCAGTGAAGAATCAATATTTCACGGACTAATTATCAATTTTGTTGGTATTTAGCTATAAACTCAAGCATCAGTTGGTCTTGCATGTTTAGATCAGTTAGCAGAGCGAACGCACAAAAAAGTCATTGCATCAAAATTCACAATGTTAATAAGCACCGGTCTATTTTTCTAGAAGCTTGGAGCTGGAGCAAGCTAACATTCATGGCTTCACAGAAAAGCTGCTTTAGTAGAAGGACAGAGAAAGGGACAATATTCAAAGAAGGATTTAAGGTTGCCTCCTGAACTGTATTGCTGCATATAGCCACTAGTGTGGCTATATACTTCATTAATGCCGTTATGTCAGCTAGAGAGGCATGAAGGACTCCAGGACCTACCAACCATCTACAAGATACGTCCACATTCCATTTTACAGTTTCAGCACATAAAAAAATCCCCAAGTTTGAGGCATGAACGTGAAATGACAATGGCTAATTCAAGATAATCCACGTGTTAAACATTTCTACTGCCTCTCCCCGGGCTTGTCACGTGTGGGGTTTGTAGCAGGACAGAACCCTGCCGAACAGGAAGACGTGGTGCAACAGATGGAGAAGAGTCCAATATCAGTGCACGTATTAGATCACTTTATTACACTGACATTTAAAGCAAACCACAGATCTTAAACCAAATACTGTTTAGAACTATTTCAGTCTTGTTTAAAAATCAATTAGAATCCCCTTGATTACGGAAGCAAGTGCTTGGGTAAACAAGTGATAACGACCGGTGTCAGATGCTTAACTGTGCAACAGGCATTATACCTTATCTTAAATCCTTTAGCTTGCAACTGGGAACAAGTCCATCCAAGACAATGGTGGTTTAACCCTTTAGCTGTTACTTTTGCAGTAAAGAAGTGTAAGCGTGGAATAAACTGATGTTTTATCTGATGTGACAAGTACTACCAGCAAATCAAATGTAGGCTTCTCATTATAAATAGGAAGATGAACAACTACAGCATGAAAATAATTACAGCAAAATTTGTGTACGATGCATTTCAGTTTACAGTGTGCAAAGCATCAACCCCAAAAAAATACATATTCTAATTCACATCAAGTCACCATTCCTTTCCCCTTTAAAGAAAACAAAGAAATAAAATCTTCCTCAAAAACTAATTAACAGCAACAAGTACTAAACAGTCCTGAATTAGAAGTTTCAGGATCACCTCCAGCAATCCTTACTCTAGAAATCAGGGCTTACAGCCCAGCTCTGCGAGAGACACACGAGATTACTACGGGCCATTTTGGTCTCTAACTGGCAAATACATCTTTTAAAGTGCTCTAAAGCCTTGATTCGAGACAGAAAGTGATCAAAGACAACTGCATTCCATGTGCACCTTCCTCCTCACCAGCCACATTCATGAGATCCTTCTTATCTCTTAATAATGAAAGCATGGAACAGGGAGAACATTCAGACATCAATCTCTATAATCAATGATTTGAACTCTCTCAAACCCAGAAGCTACTCCTTATACTCTGGCAGTTTCCAAAGTGCTTTGTCATTCACCCAAGCAATCAATCTAGATCCAAACTTTTAAATTAATTAACAAGGTCTCTTTCCCATCCATTTAATACATAAGACATAAAAACGACATACTGTACAATGCGGTCTATACAGTTTAGCTCATCTGACAAAATTATTCAAAGTGCAATTTAAAACTGGAATTTTTTCTGTAATCATAAGCTTAGTTACCAGAACATTTTCATACACTGGTATGAGTTTAAGCTAGATTATCGTTGAATAACCTGGGCTAGTGCAAGTATATTAATGTACAAGCTTTTACATTTATAACACGAGTATTTTGAAAAAATAGCTGCATAAAACATCATGGCAAATAATACGGTTTTCCTGAACTCCCAGTTGTATCCAGCTTCCCATAAAGATAGATTTGCTAAAGTTAAAAAGTTTCTCTAGTCCTCTTCTGACTACATCAGAGAGACTAAACAAGGACATGAAGAAAAAAATCTTGTATGTGAATGGAACATTTAGACTGAAGCTCCGAGAAGCCCAAGCTCGCTGAAGTTTGAAGCACCTGTAAACCACAGGCATACTTTCAGAAGTGTGAAGTACACTTCATCTATTTTCTATTTCAATATATCCATTAACATTCCTGAATGTTTTGCTGTTACGCTACTAGGACGTTCTCAAAGTAGAAAAACTCAAAGCTGGAAATAAGTTTTCATATTTCATTTTTAAATTCTTTATCTGCATAGAAAGCAACATCCTGATTCTACCATTTTATCCACAAATGTAGACAATTTACCACGTTGGCATCATATCAGGAAACCATATTCTCCCGAGGTGTTTGGAGACTTCCAAATGAAGTCGATCTAAGCTGTAATCGTTATCTGGAATCAGTACCTCCTCCATTATAGAAAGCTGGGTAAGCCTGCCTCCACACATCTTTACAAATTCAATAAAACCTCTGCAAGTTACTTCACATTCACCAAGTCCCATTGCTGTTAAGTTCTTACAGCGCTCTGCGATCCGAATAAGTTCATCGTCCAAAGGTTGAAGTCCATTAGCACACACAACCAACTCAATTAACCTTGGGCAATTCATCCCAATACGACCTAACATCGCTTTGCTTACTGCGCGGCCAAAGTAAAGGTGTGTAACAGGGGTTTCCTCTCTGAAGAAAGCATCAAATTCTTCTTCATATAAGAAGAAATACATCACAATGTTGACTTTGGGGGAGTGCTTAACAAGAGCATCCCAGCTTTGCTTTTTAATAGAGTGAAATTCAACTTGTCCAGGATTTTCACTCACAACGTCTATGCGAAGGTGTTCAAGATCAACGTGTTTTTCACTTGAAAGAGCCAGCAGCAGTTCATCACTTAATATGTAGTAGTTCAAAGCCAGCTCCTTAAGTCCGTGACACTGGTCAGCAACACAAAGAATTCCTAAAGAACAAAAAAAAACAACAAAAAAGAAGATTACTCTCTAAAATGAAAAGAGAATATAAACACAGTTGTTTGTTGCAAAGCTCAAGTACTAATTCTATTGGCTTGAGTATTCACGCCTATATCCCAAACCCATGAAACATGACAGAGTTCTAGATATCCACATTCTTTTATGGGCTTTGGCCATAAACACTTACCAGTAAAAGCAGCAAGTCTAACTAGTCACATTCATCTTGGATCCGAGTATCTCCCTCTTTGCCCTTCCCTGTGCAGAATTTCCTCAACTTGGAAGAGCAACTGAAATCGGGTAAGATCCAGCTGAAGCTGCACTGTTCCCTTCCCTAATACTCCTTCCTTCAGCATTCATCTAAGCATTCTATTCAAATGACCGGCAGCAGCCTAGTTTAAGAGCTATGCTAAAACTGACCCTTCCCTGAATTAAGACATAAACAACATAACTGCTCTTCATCTGTTGCAATACAAAGTACACAGGTTACATCACATTTTGTGGCCTCTGGATAAGAATACAGAAAAGAGGCCAGACCAGGATTCCCCTTCCCTAGCACCAGGGTTTCAGGAGAAAGGTTAAGTGAGAAGGGACCTGAAAGCCCTCTGAACGTTCTGGCAAGCCTGTATTTTGAAGGGAGCGAGCCCTTCACCAACCAGTGCCAAAGTGAGTGAGTTCACACTACCAGATCCGGACACACGAGGGCACTACAGGAACTGAAAGACTCTCAGTCTTAATACTACTAGGTTTTGAAATTTGTATACGCTCCACACTTTTTTTAATATCGCTTTGAAGTATTAACACTTTTGCTCAGTAGGTTAAACTCACAGCACCTTGTGAAACAGTTACTGACAACTGCTTTTATCTCCTTCATCCCACCAACCCGTAGTTGATTCACGGGTGGGGGATTTTGCACGTTCCCACAGAACGCCTGCTCGTTTTTACAGAGTTGTACACATCAAGCAGCACACATTTGGTTACCCTTACACAGAACTGGCAATGAACGTCAAGTCCTTGCATCATGCGTTAAAGGCTTGCACTAATTTCGGAGGCTTTTCCTCCTCAAGGCCTATCAGAGGTACTGAAGCAGCCAAGAACATCATAAAAAAGAATCGCCAGGATTCTAGAAGATGCAGTCAAGCGAGGAGCACCTTCATTAATCCAACTTATTCAGTAACACAGAGGCATTATTCTCCTCCCCTTCCAACTGTCCAAAGACAAGACTAGGTCAAGAAAAGGCCTCTGCTAAGAGACTCAGAGGAACATTAGAAGTTCTACAAATAACTTGTTCCAAACTAAGTCTTGACCATTCTTTTATGATACTTTATTACTACATTTTTCATGTATGTTCACTACTCACCAGCCGGTGATACATGAGGACAGCTGCTCATTTTTAGCAGTTTTAGAGTATCACTGTTGTTAGCCACAAGAACCTTCAGGGAAGGATCATCAAGCGGTGTGTCATCTATCTTGATTGATGATAATGACTTGGAGTTTACAAAAACTACTGTCAGTGCTGAAGCAAAATGAGCCTATTTGGAGAAATGGAAGGAAAGGGAAAAAAAAAAAATCTTATGAGAAGACAAGCAGAACTTCAGTATCCAAACCTCAAGTTTCTCATGCACAAAAAGTACAAAAATAATCACTTCTTAGGCATCCCTTTTCCTGCGTAACAAAGAAAGGCTTATTTGAACTTTTCTTATTTGAAGTGCCAAAGGTCAAAAGAAAAAAAAGCTCCTAAATACTTTAGCAGTATATTGCAGCACATGATCATTGCATCTATTAATCCAGAAATGAGGAAACTAAAGCCTTCCAAATGATTCCCCATCTGTACACCACAAAGCATCAACACTACTAAACTTAATGCATGGAATCAATGTTTAACTATTTTCCTAATACTAATGGATGCCACAAATTAAAGAAGATATGCCAATAAATACAGACTGTTTCATAAAAATTACCCTCAGCTGAATAACACAGGAAGAAAGCTAAAGTGGTTTAAGAATGAATTAAGTCACCCCAGTTAGTTTGTAGAACATTACCTTAGAGACATTCATGAAGCTTGGTTTTGCTGTAGAAATCAATCCCAGTGTCTTGATAGAACAGTTCACCAACTGAGAAAGGATGTCACAGGCTGCTTCTGCTGACTCAGTACTACTATCAACCTGTAAGAGCAATTTAAAAATCATGAAGCCATTCTTTATTATTACTTAGAAAACAGCATCATGGATACTCAAGACTGCAAGGTCCATGTCCACTTTGCTATACTTCACCAGACTGCATTTACCACAAGGACAAATTGTAACATTAATTAGAAACTTCAAGACAAGAAAAGAGTTCAGGGAAGTTACCACTCGAAAATTTTCCTCAGTGTGACCACTGAGTATTTCCAGTATGAACAGAGAACTTAAACCTAAGACCTGTCTTCAAATAACCTAAACAACTGTCATCAGGAGTGGTGTTATGATAGACAGTGGTATGTATGCACCTTTTTTTAAATGCCAATTCTAAACTCCTATAGCAGAAAAAAAAAAAGAGTTGATAAAGCCTAGATATACTACAGCAAACCAATCCATTTCACCTGCAGGGACAACTCCTTTGCATCTTGAATGATGAACTGATTCTCAATTCATCTATGAGCCTGCTGACTAACTGGGGACAAATCACTGTTTCATCTCGCCTTCCTCCTCTGTAGTAGCTGAGATGATAAAAGAGCAGCTGAAAAATCGTAAGAGTTGCATTAAGAGATAATGCCAATTCATTATAATCAGTTATATGAAGTGCAGAAGTTACAGGTATTTAATAACTGATTATCCAAGAACTACTGTGCAAGCAAATCACAGGATCTCCAAATGTAAAATTGCTACCAGTGCTGAGAAGAAGCAGATTCTGATTTTCATCCTAGCTTTAATATCAGTCCTTCCTTCTGCTTTTCCTTCACAGCTTAGCGCTATGACATTCTCTAAGAAGTGTCTGCCAAAAGTGAATAAAGCACCTGTAATTCCCACTACGGTCTCCTCAGACAAACAGAGCAAACAATATCAAGTATTCAAACAAAAGAAGTCCGCTTTGATAAGATCCTAAGACTACAAACACAGCCTTCATTTAAATCAAGTTTACCGTTACGCACAATCATTTGCCAAGCACCGATATTGCCACTAACACTGATTCACAGAAGCTACGTGTTCTGCATATTCGGAAAATGTATCATGCAATCTTCAGCACTGTATTGCATACCCTTAGCTCCTTTTTTACTCTGCAGAGATTAGAGTGTAGAAATTGGAAGGAGACAGCGTGCACGTGTGGAAATAAATTCTTGCAGGAGGTGCATTTTTAAAAATAAAGACTTCCAGGTACAACACTTGAGCCAACCAACTCTGAGAAGCTGCGTATATTATGCACAGTAATGTGGCAAAACAAGCCTCCATTCATCCAAGGCTTACCTTGAAGCTGACGTACTGCAGATGATCAGCATGCCTCTTGATAATCTGCTGAATGAGATCAGGATGTGTAGACTTTAAGTAAGAAGTAGCTGGCTGGCTAAGTTCAAATTCAAATCTCCTCCAGAGATCTGGGATGTGAAAAATTTCATTCCACCTTCGACAAACAGAAGATGCCCTGGCTCGATCTACTAAAGGTAGGAACTGAAAAATACGCAGAATAACATGGTGTGGAAGGCTTCCCCAGTCCATGGAGGCGTGCAAGTCGGATTCACCGAACACCGAGCCATATAAACAAGTTTTCTGTTTTTTGCTTTTTTGTGATGTTTGAGGAGCTTCATTTTCAACCACAACTTTCTGCCTAGCTCTCTTCATCATGAAAGTTCCAGGTACCAGCACAACCCGGTGTACCGAAACTGCACAGTTTCCTGAAAGGTCTCACGTACAGCAGGTCTCTAAAAAAATACAGAAGATTAAGTGAGGAAGGCAGAGAAGGCAGTGAAAACACAGTAAGAGACAACAAGTTAGTAAAATTTAAATATAGGACATTACTATGAAAAAAGGTATGTCTACATGTCAATATCCAGTGCACAGGCGTCAGCAAGGAGCTTCTTTCTCAATGCCTTTTATTTTGTACCACTTGATTTGAATCTGGAGAACTTGAGTTTGTTAATTTACCAAGCGTAGTTTCATGTATTAGCACTTCACTAAGCACTTCATAGGGGGGAAAAAAAAAAGTATTTAACAGCAATTTAGTTTAGCAGTAGCAAATGGTGTATGTTTAAATTTAAACTCAGACAAGCTATGGAATCTACTCCTGATTTCTAGAAGAATTTTATCAACTACAGAACCCAATTCATAAAGTCCCTCTTTAAACACTGATGTTGCAGCAGATGTGTTCAGAAGAGTCAGATTCAAAAGTGTATGGCTGATGAGGTGTCTGACCTGCAAACCTAACTCCATTTCCATCAAAACAAAGCACGCGCACTATTTGAGAAGTGGGAAAGAACAACCTAGCCAATTAATCAAGAGCTGCTCGTGTGACCAGCTTCACTACTGCTCACGCTCCTGACAAGTCATCTCAACCACCAAGGAATTTATTCCAGCAGTCTTCAGGAATTTTCACTAAGTCTCTTTGAAGTTCCATTTATGATAGCAATAGGTTATATATGCAGAAGGGTAGGCTAGTAACGCTCTTTAAATTATATTTAATAACAGAAGCTTTTCTTCCCTGAATAGACACACGAGCCTTGCATTAACAAGCAAAGGCAACAAGTCAAAGAGAACAAAGAACAAGACGCTCCAAAACAAAGCAGTATTTCTAAACAATACATTAGTGTTACTAATGTAATGAAGATGCAAGCTCAGCACAAACATTTTGCTACTAGACCATGTTATCAAATTATCATCTACACAACCATGTTTTGACTGTTGAGAGCTTTAAGTCACACAATGAATGGGCATTCCAAAGCATTATGTGTGGATGTAGTAATTAACCATTACATAACTCTCTCTTCCAGTTGCTCACAGCCTTGCTAAATTTAGCTTGAGTTAAATACTTGCTTTTTTTCTTTGTCCCCCCTCGTCCCTCCTGGGGAGGCATTACAAATCTAGCTGTTTCCTAAAACTGACGTCCAGAACAAAAAAATGAAATTAAACAAATGCTGTTGTCTGAGAAGCTTCTCTATTCTCATGCAAATCTGCAATATCTCAGTAAAATGTAAGTTTCTGGAAAAAAAAACAAACAACAACAAAAAAAAAACCAACCAATAGAAATTTTCACTTTCTCATTCGAAACTGACTTGAGCTTCATAGGTGCTGTTTTGGCCCCCACAAAGAAGTTTTGGAATCTGAGAGCTACCAGAAAGGACACCGTTCCCCTAAATCACCAGCCAGGCTATAGCCCAGGTGCAGCACATCCAGTCCAGACATACAGAGAGGTGTGACAAGGAACGCATGGGGGACGTAGTATCTACACTCTCACTGACGGAACGCGGCCATAACTTGTTCTCGTTGCTACATCCCTTTAAACTGATAACTCCAAAATTTCTATTCTTAGTATTCTATATTGAAGTACTTTAATTCTAGCAAAATTACATCATATTACTCACCATGGAATGCAAAGGCAGAAAAGGCTCCATTGGTTATATATCAGAAAGTTTTTACCAAACACGAAGCCCTAGTATTTACTGTGAAAATGTGAATGCTTATTTCATTCTGAACACTTAAACTATGAAGAATATGTATTTTAAAACACAACTTAACTAAATTATAGTTCCATGTGATATAATCCAGGGAGTATTCAATGGGAGGTTTACATGCACACATACCTCCAAAGAATGTGGAAGCTCCTGTCAAGTTACCAGCACCCTTCTGGTATCTGAACATCCATCCCGCTGTTGAGTCATCCTGTGTGTGTGCATGGATTCCTTAACCAGAAGGCAGGGACTGGTCCCAGAAGATGAACTGACCTGCAAAGCCACCAACCAAAGAAAAACTGTTCTGCAATGTCTGGGAGACCCACTGGAGGGACTCAACTCAGTTTTGGAACAAAGACCGAGACGAATAGCGCACTCCGCACTGCAGGGCAGACGTGGAAGTAGAACAATGGAACGTGTCAAGTAAATTAGCTTTACCAAAGGTTATCTAAAAACTGTCATTTAACTAATGGGACGGTGTAATTGTTGGCACAAATCTAGTTTTTGAATTATCTACAGTTTTAGTCACATCAGTACTCTTCTGCAACACAGATACACCTCTGGATTCTTGAATGTTACTTAAAGAAATTACAAACCTGGATAAGAAACAGTACTTTTTTTCAGCTTACTGTATACCAAAACCACATGAACCAAAACAGTTAAAGACAAAAGATACCAATGACGTACGAATATGATCCTACATACAAATACAAAAAACCTACCTAACATCTTAGTATGAAGGAGTATCTTGGCCTCCTATAAGAAAGTATACCCCAAACCTCCAAATCCAGCTACCCATTTTGCATTATTTCAAGATGGTTTAATGGAAAGCTATAGGAACAGCAACGCATACCTTACTAAATCCTGACAGGTTTGAAATGAAAAAGTAGATTTAAAAACCAAATATGTTTACGAAGTATTGCGTTCAGCCAGTATTAACATCTTTAGAACCTTCTAACACTGAACTTTTTCACTTTTCTTTAAAAGATGGGAGACAGGAGGCCTTAGATTCTCCCAGGTCATATCACCATCTTCTGAAAAACCACCCAGGTAATATCAGCTTTATGACTGTAAAGGTTAACACAGGTGTAGTACATGCATTAATTATGAACACAACAAGAGAAGCTGCCCCTATGTTCTAAGCAAAATCAAACTCAAGTACTGAAATCTGTGCAAAGTAACATTGCTGCTCAGCTCACACACCAAAAAAAGTAAGAGCTGCACAGTTATGGTTGCCTATAATTAGAAAGTTGATATACAGTAGCAACTCTGTTTGTAGATGGCATCTGAAGACGTGTGTAACTGATGGTGGCCTTGTATTGCACACAGTCTGCAAGTACTGCGCGTTCTTCTGTCAAGCGCGCAGCCTGTCCCCTTGCTGACTGTGCATGGCACATAAAATTCATTTGCAAAAGCAGTCAGTTTCTAACACATGAAATATAGGTTTGTAATGACACACGTAAACAGAACACATAAATAACATAACTAAGAGCACAAAACAATTTGAAGAGTCAAGCGTGTCAAGTTTATAAACCACATGACGTATTTTGAAGTGGGTTACTTACCTAAAGAATGCTTCCAAGTTACAATAGGCAATAAATGAATGAACTGAGGCAGCTGCAGCCATGGGGCACTCACGAGCATCTGTCTGCTTTCCCCTCCTGTCCAGGTCAAATGACACAAAAATGTTCATCAGTTTAAAAAAAAAAAATTCCTTGCATTACATCCCATGCAAAAACTATAGGAAAATACACTGACACCCATTTATACATTTTCTTGCTTTAGTGAGGGAGCTTGAGGGCATCATTGAACACAAGGTAGCTCACCCCACATTGCAAATACTGTGTCACTGAAACAAACGTGAGGTCAGATTAAATGTAAAGCTGATGGGAAACAAATGTTGCAACTGCATTGACAGTCATGTAAACACCAAGTTATTCAATATTTGTGTTACCATCACCATTAGTAGTGAAGTTTGGTAAACAACACTGTCTATAGCTACTAATGTAACCCAAGGGTCACAGAAAACATAGAAAAACACCAAAATATTTTCTTCCTGTCTTTTCCCCTTGGCCAGCAAGGCCGCCTTTTGGCCTAGGGAAGGAAGTGACAGGCGATGAAAACCCAGGCGCCACATGGCACCGCCAACCCTGCAGCAGCCTACAGTCGCCGGGCCGGGACAGCCCGGGGCGCATGGTCACACGGCCAGGAGCAGGACAGAAGCTGTAGTCCACCCACCCAGCCTGCAGCTCCCCCCTGCTTACGGGCTCCCCAAAAGCAGATGAGCGCCCGTACAACCTGGCAGGCGCACCACAAACTCCCCCACTGAGGGGGCTTACATTAGAAGTCCCCTACCTGCCTCCACGCTATTTTCTTTCAATGCTTAACAGATAACTTTGTGTTTCAGTGTCTTCCATCATAAATCATCATGCACAGCTTTACCCCCAAGAATACCACTAAGTTTGGTTTTATAAAAACACACCAAATAACCGAAATCTTCCTCTTGATAAACTTTATATCCTTACGGGGGGGGGGGAATGCCTACCCCTCCATCTGTTCTGATCTCAGGATTTCAGTATTCCTCCCAACACTCCCCAGTGTGGCTGCAGGCAAAGTAATTGTTAATAGTAAAATAAAATTAAGAAAAGGATAGTAATATCCTTTTTTACAGTAAGAAATGTGTCAAATGTATTTCTATTAACGTAGTCAACAAAGACTAGTTACAGCG